TTTTCATTTGTATTTTTTTTTTCACTTTGTAACTGCAGTAGTTTAATAAAAAATAAATAGCTTTACCCTGATACTCATATCTACATGTTTCTGTTTTGTGAGTTTTATCTGTAAATATTTCAATCTGTTATATTTGTAGCTGTAACAAAAGCCAACTCAAAASGTCCCCAGTTCCCAGCCCACCTCGTTTTTAGAGAAATGATTAATTTTTGGTCTCTGGTTTCTTTCTGACTGGAAGTTTACGATGATTTTCCTGCTGTCGTCATCTGAGCGCTTCGACCACTGGCTGCTCTAATTCATCATATATGAAAGTCGTTTTTTTTTTTTCCTGTGCTCGTTCAGAGACCACTGTCACCTCACCCCCTCACCTCCTGCTCTGCTCTTCAGAATCGTGACACCAAGCCTTCATGTTTCTGCTCACAGCCTGACAGTTTCAGAAGCGCTGCAGAGAGAACCGGAGGGAGATCGGTGAGTCTTTCGTGATGTGCTCACACACGACTTCTTTTACTTACAGATAAACTCGACCACCTGAGGGTAACTTTGTGCAACGACAAACCAGAATAGATTAACTGTGGTCAAACTGTGGTATTTAAATCTTTAGTTATACATGTCGTCCTGTGGATGGTATTTATTTTAAAGAAACTCTGAAAGCAACACAAGAGAATCGAACATGTGCTTTATGATCTAAAGTGACGTTTATTCTTTTGCTTTTTTAAAAAACATCAGTAAAACTGGTTGATGTCTTGCGTTATTCAGCAAAACTTTTTATTATCAAAACTATTCTGTTTATTAGGCCTTTAAAAGTAGTAACAATGATCAGGAACAGCACCTTGACCAGGGAGGTCGGGGGAGTCAATTCTTGCAGCATTTCTTGGACTAAGAGACATAGTCCGTCTATCATGTCCTGGATCAGTGTCTCCTCGTTGCTGGACATGCCTGGAAAACCTCTCCAAGGAGGCRTCCRGGGGTCATCCTTACCGGTGGATGTGGATCTACTCTGAGTCCCTCCTGGAGAACCGAACTTACCTGATCTCTGAGGGAGAGTCCAGCTACCCTACAGAGCAGGGGTTCTCAAAACCTTTGGCTCTGGGGACCCCTTACA